TGTCCATAAGCTCCACGGGGGCAGGAGCCTTGGCTGTGCTGCTCACCATTGCATCCCCTGCACCCAGCACAGGGCCAGGTCCCCAGGGGGCTCTTAGTAAACACACACTCCATGAAGGAGCGAGTGTGGGAAGTCCTGCGGCAGGTGCATACCCAGGTGCTATGGGCTCTCAGGCGAGGCTAACTTTCTAAGGCATGCATGAAAATCCCAGGCTGTGGCATGGACTAGATGCTACACCAAGACACTATAAAGCCTTTCACAGCTCCCTCTAACGCATACCCTTGTAATCACGGTGCCCAGGCAAAAACTTGCCAGGGTGGCCCCTTCCAGCCCCTGCCCGCTCCCTGTGCTCTGTGGCCACTTCCACAGAGCTCATGATCTGGAGAAAGTGATGTGTCTGCAGCCCATACCCTGCCTCTGCTGATGCAGCGTGCTGAGAAGAGCCAAGAGGTGTGGGTCAAGGGTGGTGGGAGCCCGGAGCAAGCAGCTCATGGGCTTGGGCCCCAGGTAGGTCACGGAGGGCTTCCTGAAAGAGTGGATGCCATTTCAGCCTGAGCAGCTTCGAAGCACGAGGGTTGGGTTGCTGCTGGAATGCAGGTCCTGGGATGGTACTGGTTCCAACATCCCTTCTACAGATGATGGTTTTCTTGTTTCTCTTTCCAGGAGAGGACCTGTACATCCTTAGAGATAGCCTTCAATGTCATCACCAAGGATCCCAAAGGACCTGCAAGGTGACTCAGTCACTCAAAGGTAAGTCTCATTAAAGAAAATCAAATCTGGCATTTGGTGCAGAGGTTAAGATGCTGGTTGGGACGCCCACATCCCACGTCGGGGCACTCAGGGTTAAGTCCAGGCTCTGCTTCTGATTCCAGCTTCTTCCTAACGCGCACCCTGGGAAGCAGCAGGGAATGGCTCCAGTACTCAGTCCCTGACACCCACAGGGAGACCTGCCTTAAGCTCCAGTCTCCTGGCTTTGGCCTGCCCTAGTCCTGCCTGTTGCTGGCATTTGGGAAGTAAACCAGTGGATGGAAGATCTTTTTCTGTCTCTGTTTTTAATAAAAATTGCTTTTTTGCCTCTTGAGCCAGCCAGAAGGACATGGTTATTTTAAAATCTAGCTTCCAGGACCTCAACACTGCAGGTAGCTATGGCTGGAAACTGAGCATCGTTAGCCTTCAAGGGACTCAGCAGAGAGGTTTCCACCCCAAACACAAGCTCAGAGGGCAAAGAAGCAGGTGCCACAGGCATGGCTGGGTGGCAGCACTAGGAGAGCAGACTGGGGGTCAGACAAGGCTGAGTGTCAGACAGCCCAGCTGCTCAAACTGTGGGCCTCAGTCTCTCTATGTGGGACCTGGGATATGGCACCCACCCCACCCCAGTGGGTCACTTTGAGAGTTCAAACAAGAGAATGTAGACCAAGCACCATCCTGATCAGTATCTGGCTAATAAGAGACACTCAGTAACTGGCAGGTATCATTTTTCATCCTCATCGTTATGATTAAAGACACCTTATACATTCGGAGGGTATTTGAAAATAAATCTTCATTACAGAACTCCTATAGGATATTCTGAAGTCTATTCAAAGGGCAAATTGAGCTCTGGGATTTCAACTTTTTTGGTTCTGGACTAAATTGCAGATGGGGTTTCTACGCCGTTTTGTAGTGAGCGAAGTGTGGTAAAATCGCAGAGCCAGGTACCACAGCTCCTGGTCTTTCAGCCTTTTCTACAAAGCAAAATAAAATAAAGCCAGGCACCTCCTGGCCACTGCGGACGTGCTGAGGATGGTCTCGAGCTTCCAAGTGACATGTGACTTCAGTGCTCAATTCCTGTTACGTTCTCAGCCTTGCATAACGCACTGCCCATAGAGGCAGAAACTCACTTGGTGGGAAGGGCGGAGGAGGAGGGGGAGGAGGAGGAGGAGAAGCAGCCATGAAAACCACTCTGCATCCACTAGGCTGGCCCTGGCCAGCTCATGAACCTTTGCTGATGACCAGAGCCCCTCAAGAGGAGTCTCCACTCTTCATGGAATCACTCTGGAAAATCCAGGGTGAGGCATTCCGCTTAGAAGTTCTAGGTGGGAGCCGGCTTTGCCAAGTTAGGCTGACCTATCAATGAGCACGTGCTTCCCCAGGGCCCCGCTGCCAGCAAGGCCAATGTATTCTCTCGTCTGCCTTCTGATTTCACCCGTCCTGTAGGGGCAGAGCTCGGCCAGGAGGTCTCGGAAGACCATTCCCTACTCTTTTGCTTTGCTGGACTCGGACTCACAGGACAGACGTTTCTTCCCAAGCCATCGCCTGCCGGCTGCTGAAACACCTCTGGTAGGGAACATGGCACGCACAGCTGCCATCGCTGACTGGCGGGACAGGAGACAGCGCCGAACTCAGCTCCCCTGCAATTTTCATTCCTGCAGCGCCTTCGGCCTCTCGGGCCGCAGAGGGTCACCCCGACCCCTCTTCCCCAGCAGGGCGTGGCTCCCTGGGCTGTGAGCTGTGCTCAGATGGGCCCCTGCTGGGCTCTGTGTTAGCCACAGGGCGTGCGGGGGTGTCTCACTGGTGGTCCCTATCCCACCCAGAGGGCGTGGCAGATGCGGGAGTAGATACTTAATTCATAAGAGGGACCAGCAGCCGCAGCATCACCTGTGAACCTGATGCAAATTCTCCGGCGCCAGCTCTCCAACAGCTGATGAGTAAGAGTTGCTGGATGTGGGGCTCAGCCAGCCAGGGCCGCACCAGCGCTCCGGGTGATTCGGCGGCACCTGACGTCTGACGACTCACGGTCTAGCCACGGCTAGGGACCCTTCATGGCACATGATACGAGGATGGGTGCCGGGGCGTGGGGGAGTCTGTGTGGTTATACACAAAGCAATGCCAGTGTTTCGTCGGGCAGCCGACACTCCGGAAAATTCTGGGGACAACTGCTGGGAAGTGGTGCGAGTGGCTCTCTAAGGGATGAAGTCGGTTTTGGGTTTTTTTGTGCTGCTCCCTATCACCCCCATTTCCCATTGGATGGACAGACTGCTCTTTTTCAGTCTGTGGAGGGTTGTCGTTCCCCGAGGCCCCGGTCACACCCGGGCCTGGGCAGCTGGCAGGACATCCAGGGCCCTCTCCTTTCCTGGGAGACGTGGCCCCCTGTGTCCAGATTGTGAACTCAGGCTGTGCCTGGATTCTGTCCTCTGGAGTGGTGGGAACCTGCCCCCTTAGCCTCCTGTCTGGAGAGACAGCCCGAGTGCCTGCCCCGTGCTGGGCACGGGCTGATGCTCACATCGTCTCCGCCAGGGGGCTTGAAGGCGCTTACATCATCCCTGCTGTACAGATGAGGACGCGGAGGCTCAGGAAGTAACTTGTTCCGAGGTCACACCTCTCTAACCCATGCATTTCAACTAACAGAAGTTTTTAACCCTGGCTTCATTTTAGGGTCTTCTGGAAACTGTTTACTGAAAAAAAAAAAAAAGAAGGAAGGGAGGGAGGGAGGCAGGAGGGAGGGAGGGATATTAATCTAGCCTGAATTGCAAAGCAATTAAATCTAGAGGTAAGGTCCAGGTATCGTTTAACAAACACCCAGGTGATTCCGGCGATGGGCCGGCCCGGGCGGGGACCCAGTGAATGGAGCCTGTTCCTTTTATTCTCAGTAAGATGATAAACAGGAAATACCTGCTTCTCGGGGCTCCCTTAATAAAATTGCGCCAGCCTGACATTTATTGCAGTTGATAGAGCCTGCCGGATAGCACGTGTCCATTGTAGAGAACTCATGAGGAGCACCCCAAGGCTGCGTCCCGGCACTCAGGAGCTCAGAGACGAGCCCAAGACCTCGCACAGGTGGGGAGCTCACAGCGGATTTCAGACACTAGAAAGAGGTCATGGAAGAGGCTTTTTTTTTTTTTTAAGTCTATGCAGTTTTTTCATAGTATGTACTTTCCAAACTTTTGAAGACTCATTGTATATATAATTAAAAGGGTTTTTTTGCACCAAAATAAGCTTACCTTTTTCTTTAAATATTTATTTTTACTTGAAAGGTACAGTCAGAAAGGGAGAGACAAAGAAATCTTCCATCCACTGCTTTACTCCCCAGAGCCAGGGCTGGACCAGACCAAAGCCAGGGGCCACAAGCTTCTTCCAGGTCTCCCACATGGGTGCAGAGGCCCAAGCATCTTCCACGCCTTCCCAGGCACATTAGCAGGGAGCTGGATCGGAAGTGGAGCAGCTGGGACTCAAGTTGGCACCCATATGGGATGCCTGCGCCACAGGCCCTGGCTTAACCCACTATGCCACAGTGCCGGCTCCTAAACTTAACTTTTAACTCCATTTTTTCCCATAAACGTTTCCAAGTCCCCTTGTAGTCACTGGACAATCTGTGCTGTTGATCTGACCACAGGCACCACATCTAAAGAAGGCATCTTTAAAATTCAAGTATAGTTTTTTCTTTCCAGCTTCATGCCCTGTTGTCTTAGGGCTTTCTCATGGAGAAGTCCCTGGAGGCTCGCGTGGCCACTAGAGGGTGCACATCACAGAACAGGAACCCACATGTGCAGCTGCACCGGTCACGCTACAAGAACTAGAAGGAAATCACAGGTAGGACCTGTCAGGCTGAGTAAACTAAAATTCCAGGATCTCGGTTAAATCTGAACTTCAGATGAACAAAGCATTGCACGGGACATACTTACACTAAGCAAATTTACTCATTGTTGATTTGAAACTCTGACTGAACTGGGTGTCCTGTATTTCACCTGGCAGCCTTGATCAGAGAGGGTTTTTTGGGGAAGAAGCAGATAATGTAGTAGGTCTCAGCGTTTTCAAATACTAGAATCTGGGGGAGCGTGCTGTAAGGGATCAAAGCACCATCACAACTGTGGTGTGGGACTCTTCAGGGCTCCAACGCCGCCTCCGCGGTGAGCCCCCGCCACCCGCTGGTTTGCCCCGTGTCACTGTGTTCCTGCCCTGATCCCATTGTTACGTAATCAAGGCAAAGTTCTCAAATGCTCCAGCAGACTCCCTTGCTTTCTTTGGCATGGACTTCCTGGGACCTTACCCTGTGCTTCCCAGCTCTTGAGGTAGGCTGGGCCTGCAGCGCATGGAGGTACACAACCTCAGTGTTCAGTCCACAGACAGCAGCACACAGAGGATCATCATTTGTAAGACAAGGAAGTTCTGCACGTGGACCAAAACGTGCATGTAGGAGATGGGTGTCACGCCTCCTGCCCAGAGCCCATCTCCCAGGTTCAGTCTCAAGTGTGATATCCCCTGGAGAAGAAGCAGCAGACCTGAAACCTCACCTGCCCACCGAGTTGCTTCTTGGCACTGGCAGTGTCCCTGCGTGGCCACAAGCTCTCTGTGGGAAGGGACCATCTTTATGGCATCGGAATGGAGAAAAGCTAAAGTGCAACCATGGTGGCACTCCCATTACCTTCCAGACAAACGCTGGCCCCCAGTTCTTAAGCTGTGGTCCATGGTCTGCCTGGGTGACAGCTGGGTGCCTATGTGTAGGATGGGGAGAAGATGAAGGGAATTGGAGGCGCTTGCCCTGGAAGGTCCACCTTAAGGCTGCACAGACAGAGCCCACGCTGGTGTCTGACTGCTGTCTACTGAGAGAGGGGGGAGGGCTCGTGGTCAGAAATCCCAGCCCAAGCCTCCTGGTCGCATCTCCTTGGTTTCTCCTGCAAAGTGATGGCTTGCGGGAGCAGGAAGGTGGGACAGTCCGCCCCCAACTCTGCTCCGGGTGCTGTGGGCACACCGAGAAGAATCAGTGCCCTTCCTGAAGTTACGCAGGTGCACAGGGAGGCTGCTTCCCCCACAGGGACAGAAAGAAGACGCCCATTTGTCTAGAGGAGAGGGGCCCCCTGGGGGCCAGGACCCTCCCCCCTTGATAGATTCCTGACAAGTCCTGGAAGTTCTGGGCTCTGAGAAGTTCCGAGAAGGTCATGACGTTTTCCATCTGCAGAATGGGTACACGGTCCCTCTGCCTCCTCCCAGTGCACCTCGGGAAATGTGGGCCCCAAAGCAGCACACTGCTGGGACAGCCTTACTGGAACGTCCGGCAGTGGCGTGTGGCTGGGGCATTTTTGCTCCGGAGACATCCTGAATTCCTTAGGTCAACACATGAAGAGGGAAAGAGCCCACATTTTCCAGATTCTTCTCACAACCCTCAAAGCATGACTGTCGTAGGGGAAGCCGAGCATTCCGATTTGGGAAGGGAGGGCAGGAACCAAGATTGATGGAAGTGAGTCATCCTCACTCCCCCTTCCAAGGCTCCTGCAGGCATTCATTCCACACAGATGAGCGGGCACCTTTGTGGGCCAGGTGCTGCAGATAAAAATACCCCATCGTTTGGCAAGCGAGAAATTGGAGACCCAGAGTCCCCAAGGTAACAGGGCAAGTACCCAGCGGAGGTTTTAACCTAGGCAGTCTGACGGCTCAAGAGGCCGGAGGATGCAGCCATTGTAGAACCATCAGCAGTGATTAAGATACGGTCCCTGTTCCCCAGGGGATGCCAATCAAGTGAGGAGGGCAGGTGAGGCACTCGCTGATCACGTGAAGACCGATTGGCTGCAGAGGCAAGCAACGTAAAGGAGCGGTGCAGGTGCAACCAGGGTGGGGGAGGCCCCCCGAGCAGCCAAGGTTTGAGAGACCAGGAAGAACCTCCCCGGGAAGGTCGGGGCGGAAGTGTGCGTCCTCACGAGAGGGAACAGCAGATGCGAAGTCTCGCGGGCGGTGAGTAGCTGTGAGAAGTCCGTCAGAAGATCAGTGACCTGAACAGAGGCTGTAGCAGCCGGCCAGCGTGGGGACGGGAGGCGGGAGGCAGGGGCGCTAGCCCGGGGCCTCCTAAATCATAGGCAAAGTCGGATTTTGCCCTGAGATCCACTCAAGGATGTTAGACTGAGAGGGCAGGGCAGTCTGCAAGGTGTTCAGGCCCACCTGAGCTGTGGCACAGATTAGAGGGGCACAAGCGGAAGCGGAAACTGCTCCAGCATCTTCCAAACCCGCCGTCCCCGGAGCAGCTGCGCTGTTTCCCCGCGGGCCACGTCTGACGTCTCCCTGCGGAGGCTCCTCCCTCTCTCCCTCCCTCCCTCCGCCCGTCCCCGTCTTCCTAGGGTGGAGTCCCAGTGTTGAGCTGCAGATAAGATTTCTGGGTTCTTGTGAAGTCTTTGCTGTCGTTATTCTTTCCCCGCTGTTTTTTTTTTTTTTTTTTAACTAAGTTTTGTCTTTTATTTGTTTTCATCTACTGGAAAGGCAGAGAGGGAAGAGTGAGATCATCCATCCACTGGTTCACTCCCCAAATGCCTGCAGCAGTCAGGGCTGGGCTAGGCTGAGGCCAGGAGCCAGGAGCTCTATCGGGCTTTCCCCACGACTGGGGCAGGTGCCCAGGTGCTTGGGCCATCTTCTGCCTCCCAGGTGTGTCAGGGAGCTGGATCCAAAGTATGGAGCAGCTGGGACTTGAATTTGTACTCAGATATGGGATGCCAGCATCACAAGGGCTGAAATGCTGTACCATAACCCACCCCCGCCCTCGCTCTGGAGAGCTGAGGTGGGGTTCAAGGTTCGAGGTTGAAAAGTACTTCCCCTAGGACCTTCGCAGGTACTGTTCCACTGCCTTCTGATGATGCCAGAATGGTTCTCTTTCCTTTGATCTCGTATTCATAAGGTTTCTCTTGTATCTCATTTCATCTTGAGCATGTTTTCAAAGAGATTTATTTATGTATTGGAGAGCCAGAGTTACAGATAGAGGAAGAAAGAAAGATCTTCTAGCCACTGATTTTTCTCCCCAAAATGGCCGCAATGGCCAGGGCTGGATGAGGCCAAAGCCAGGAGCTTCATCCAGGTCTTCTGCTTTTTCTGGAGCATTAGCAGGGAGCTGGATTGGAAGTGGAGCTGCTGGGACTTGAACCAGTGCTCATATAGGATGCTGACATCACAGGTTGTGGCTTGACATGCTGCACCACAACCCAGCCCCCATCGTGGGCACCAGCCCTCAGCTGCACTGGCCTTCCTGAGTTTCCCTGAATCTATCAACCTTCGCCCACTCACCTCTCCCCTCTTCCTGGAATATTCCCCCAAATCCTTGCAGGGCCAACTGCATCTTGTTAATCAGGCCTGAGCTCAGAAGTTGCTGACCTAGCAAATACTAGATGGATAAAACATGCTGTTAATTAATTAGAAATAGTTAAATTCAGCTGGGATTCTGTGGGGATTTTTTTTTTTTTTAAAGGACTTAGTATTTGGACCAAATTCACAGTCTGATTCATCGTTCAACTGCCTGGGGGAAATCCCTATCTGACACCATACATAAAAAGTAATCTAGGTGCCTTAGACCACTAAATGTAAAATAAACACTATAATATAATAACAGGGGTCAGCGCTGTGGTGCAGAGGGTTGAAGTCCCAGTCTGCAGTGCCAGCATCAGGTATGTGTGCTGGTTCAAATCCTGGCTGCTCCACTTCTGATCCAGCTCCCTGCTAATGCATGGGAAAGCAGTGGAGGACAGTCCAAGTCCTTGGACCCATGCACCCACGTGGGAGACATGGAAGAAGCTCCTGGCTTCAGATTGGCTCAGCTCCAGCTGTTGCGGCCACCTGGGGAGTGAACCAGTAGATGGAAAGCCTCTGTCTCTACTTCTCTCTGTAACTCTTTCAAATAAATAAAATCTTAAAAAAATAAGGACTAACATTCTAGAATAAAACATAAAATGTCTATAACATTGTAGGACTGGAGGTTTTTAAAATTATTATTTACAAGGAAGAGTGACAGAGTGGGAGAGATAAGATCTTTAATTTGCTGGTTCACTCCCCAGATGGCCACAATGGCTAGGCCTGGGCCTGGAGCCTGGGCCTGGGGCTGGCTGACAGCAGGAGCCAAGAATACCATCCAGGTCTACCAAGTAGGAGGCAGGGGTCCATACCCTTAGGCCATCTTCTGCTGATTTCCCAGGTGCGTTATCAGGGATCTGGGTTGGAAGGGGAACAGCTGGGACTGGAACCAGCTTTCATATGGGATGCTGGCATTACAGGGCGGGGTTTGACCTGCTATGCCACAACAGGATAGGAGATATTTAATCGGACACAAAAAGCATTAACCATTAAGACAAAATAAGTTGGAGTAGATTAAAATTTAAAAGTCTGTTCATCAAAAGATACTATTAAAGGAGTAGAAAGGCAAATGAGAAAAAGGTATGTGTGATACACAATATAAAATGGACTCATTTTTAGAATATATAAAAAATGTTCACAATTGATAAGAAAAAGGCACACAACCAAGCCCAGTAGAACAGTGGGCAAAATCTTGAACAGATGCTAGACCAGATGCCCGAGTGGACAATGAACATGTGGAAATGATGCTCAATTTCACTGCTCATAAAAGAAATAGTTCTTAATTTTAAACATTTATTTATTTGAAATGCAGAGTTTATAGAGTGGTCTTCCATCCACTGGTTCACTCCCCAAATGGCTACAATGGCCAGAGCAGGGCTAGTCTGAAGGCAGGAGCCAGGAGCTCCTTTTGGGTCTCCCACGTGGGTACAAGGGCCCAAGCACTGGGCCATCTTCAACTGCTTCCCCAGATGCATTAGCAGGGAGCTGAATTGGAAGTGGAGCAGCCAGGACTCAAAGCAGTGCCCGTATGGTCAGCTTTACATTCTACATCACAATGCTGGCCCCAAGAAATACAAATTAAAAGCATAATGTAATATCACTATATTCTCACCAGACTGACTAAAATGAAAAGGTAAATAATATAAAATGTCAGTAAGTGTTTGGAGTATCTAGGACTCTCATGTTTTGTGATGGGTATGTTTTAATCCCTTTAAAAGTAGCCATTAAAGCTAAACATATGCGTGGCCTAGTGTGGGGAGCAACTGGGAGCAACTCGGACTAGACTAAGTTACTGGAATTAAGACTTATTCTGGCTGGCGCCGTGGCTCAATAGGCTAATCCTCCACCTTGCGGCGCCGGCACACCGGGTTCTAGTCCCAGTCAGGGCACCGGATTCTGTCCCGGTTGCCCCTCTTCCAGGCCAGCTCTCTGCTATGGCCAGGGAGTGCAGTGGAGGATGGCCCAGGTGCTTGGGCCCTGCACCCCATGGGAGACCAGGAAAAGCACCTGGCTCCTGGCTCCTGCCATCGGATCAGCGCGGTGCGCCAGCTGCAGCGGCAGCCATTGGAGGGTGAACCAATGGCAAAAGGAAGACCTTTCTCTCTCTGTCTCTCTCTCACTGTCCACTCTGCCTGTCAAAAAAAAAAATTAAAAAAAAAATAAATAAATAAATAAAAAAAAAGACTTATTCTATGCATCTGCTCTCCCACAATATGGCGCTGGGAGAGGAGGAAACAGCTTCTACACAGCTGCCTCCAGTTCAACCAATAAACTGTAGGACCTGCTCCTGATTGGAGGAGAGCAGCGTACTCGGCGTGTGGGTAGCAGAGTTGGGATTGGTGGAAGAGGACTATAAAGGAGGAGAGAGACAGCATGTACTAGCAACATCTGGGGAACACCTGAGCGGCCCCCGAGAGAGCCGGCCGAGAGAGCCGGCCGGCGGTGTGCCGCTCCCCCACGGAAGTGGGGAAAGTGGCCTGGGGGAACCGCCCTTCCACGGAGGTGGAAGGGTCGGTAGCCAACCTGGGAAGAACCAGCAGCAAACCCGGGGAGGGCCGAGCAGACAAAAGAACAATGCAGGGTCCTGTGTCGTTCCTCCACGAAGAGGGGGAGCGACATAATGGTGCCGTGACTCGGATAGGAAACCTAGGAGGGAAGAAGCGGGAAAAAGTGGGAAAATACCGGAGAGAGAGACTAGAAGAGCCTAGGGAAAAGCCGGACGGAAAAGGTGCCGGAAGAAGCTATCGAAAGCCTAGGCATAGACTCGGATACAGACTGCGGGGGGAAGCTAGGAGATTGAAAGCAAAAGTGAAACCTAGAAGAAACTTAGACTCAGATATGGACTGTGGGGAGAGGCCAGGAGAAATGAGAGGGGAATATTGTTGGAAGAAAAGTTAGGAAACATACCGGGTAGAGAAAAATGTTAGGGAAATTGAAGCCGCGGGGGCAGGCTGAGGCGGAGACGTAAACTATGTTGGAATTCTTCAAGTCAACCCGGGGAGCAAAAGGCGAAAAGCTAAAACCAGAGGCAGAGACGCGTCAGCTAGGTTGGAATCCGTCAGATTAGCCCGGGGAGCAAAAGACGGGAAGCCAAACCAAAAGGCGCAGACGTGAGCTGGGTTGAATTCGCCAGGTTAGCCCGGGGAACTTAGACTGAATACCGGTGGCGGAAACGTGAGCTAGGCTGTGTGATTCGCAGAAGCTGCCGCGCGCAGAGAGAGCGCGTGGGGCACGAACGGGGAGAGTGCACGGGGCGCAAATAGATAGAGAAAACGTGGGGCTAGCGCGAAGGCCATGGTGCAGGCGCAAAGGGCGCAGAGACCACAGAGCGCGCAGAGCCGGGAAGCCACCGCGGGGCGAGGCGCCAAGAAGCAGCCTCAGGGCGGGCGCCGGGAAGCCGCGGGGATAAGAGAAACAGAAGTTTAGAAGTAAAATGAGAGAAATAGGAATGCTGGCAGATAGAAGTAAAATAGGAGAAATAGGAATGCCCGGAGATAGAGAAACAGAAAAATAAGGCCTCCCCACAACATGGCAATGAGAGAGCTTGGATTCGGTCTGCCTGATTAGTAAGACGATAAGCACCTGCGGGTGGCTAGCGGCTTATGCGCCGCAGGTCACCGAAGACA